ACAGGCGCCCGCCACAACACCTGGCTATTTTTTGGTTGCAGCCATCATTGTTGTTTGGCGGGTCCGGGCTGGGGATTCGAACCTGCCACCTTATGTGTACGTGGCTGGCGCCTTAGCCGGTTGAGCTATAGGCGCTGAGCCCCCAGTCATTCTTCATACTGGGAAGAATGAACTCCCTCCCCTCTCAGAACTGCTTTCCCTCCCTTCTGGCCCTAGTTAAACAGCAGCTTATACTCCAGATCTCAAGTCAAACATCTCTTCTACCTGGAGTCCCTCCCAGATTCTCATTCTACCTCCCCACTCAGCTCCTATCCTACCTTGCTTGCCTGAAAAATAATCTTATTGACTAAGCACAATGTCCTCACACCTGTAATCTCAGCACTTTGAGAAGCTGAGGCAAGAGGATCATTTGAGGCTAGGAGTTGAAGACTAGCCTGGGCAACATACCAAGACCCCACCATCTCAACTCCCCCCAAAAGAAAAAAGCACACCAGCCTGACCTGAGTGCCTGTAGTCCTAGCTACTGGGAAGGCTGAGGCAGGAGTCTATTGGAGCCCAGGAATTCAAAGCTGCAGTGAACTATGATTGAGCCACTACACTCCAGCCTGGGCAACAGAGCAAGACCCTGTCTCTTAAAAAGTATATTATTTATTTATTTGTTTGCTTTTATTTTGTTTGGGGACATTCTCATTCTGTGCTCTGGGTAGAGTGCTGTGGCATCATAGCTCACAGTATCCTCAAACTTTTGGGTTCAAGCAATCCTCTTGCCACAGTCTCCTGAGTAACTGGGACGACAGGTGCTCACTAAAATACCTGGCTAATTTTCCTATTTTTAGTAGAAATGGGGTCTCACTTTTGCTCAGGCTGGTCTCGAACTCCTGAGCTCATGCAATCCACCTGCCTCAGCCTCCTAGAGTGCTAGGATTATAGGCATGAGCCACCACGCCCAGCCTTAAAAAATATATTCAAAACAATAAATTAGTTAATAGCGGTTATTTATTGAAGAAGTATATCAATAATGGCTAAAAATGAATAATCTTGAGCCCACCGAGGTAAAAATAGTCTCTTTTACTATCTGTTCCCACTGTCTAGTAGCCTTTTTAAAACTTCTCTGTGCCTCAGATTCCTTGTTTGAAGTGGCTCAGTTACACAGGGTCCTGGCTCCTTACCCTCTGCAGAGCATGTGCAGGTGTGGGTTGTGGGCACTGGTGGGGGTTGTAGCACTGACCGGTGACTACCTTTTACAGTTTTTTTTTT